AAATATTGAATATCTATTTTCTGAGTAGTCTCGTGTTAACAGCTTTGTGGATTGTGTGGCTATTGTCCAATGCTACTACACACTCACTTCATTACAGGGTACAGTTATTTTATGGGTTTTGAAATGTGACTCTTGGATAACATCAAGAAATGTCCAGAAATCCGAAAGCTCAGGTGTGTCTGAAGGAGGCAGAAAATAGCTCAAGCTTTTGTTGTACCAACCTAATGATTATTTCTGATATCCCGGACCTCTACTATCAATAGAAATGGGTTTCTAGATGGGCAGTGACTAAGGATGACTTAGCTTTCCTTAATAGTTTATGCAGCTCGAAATACCGTCATTTGACTTTTTAGCGGTTGAATGCCAAAACATTCTTGTGTATCTATTTCTTCAATGGCACTTCATCTCTTTGGCTCTTCAGCTTGATTTTACGTTGCTAACTTTTGCACAGAGCGTTTGGCCATGGAATTATTTCTTTCATCAAGAAAACAGTGGGACTGTGATCCTATTTGCTTGATTTAGGCTAACAGAACAGATAATAAGACAGCTTCAAACGCTTTGTCAAAGTCAAGAAGTAGAGCATGTGCATGCAAATTTTGGAGACAGAATTATGTCCATGTGTTCAACGCTGGTAAGCCATTCATACTGCACAATTCCTTTTTCATGAAGACGCGTTGTATTTTGCACATAGGCTCCTTTTCTGATTATCTATCAAACTTTCCAACACCCGTGAATATCAGGAAAACAGCTACAAGTTGGCAGCATATTGCATCCTTCCTGTCTACCCTATGGAATTTAGGTGACAGGATTACTATTTTACACATCTTTCAAACCTTTTGGAGTACAAAGATTAATAATCTAGGTCAATTATTGGGTAAAATATGGTTCAAAATCATTCTCTCAATTCAGATATTACTCGTCAACACGTAACACATCCAAAATTCTACCTGACTAGTTTAGAGTCGCTGTTATCATATACCATAAATCCCATCTGTGGTACTGATAATTATTGTCCATTGCTTTTATTACCAGATGTAAATGCATTGTTTATACTTGCTGCTTACTTATTGCTCACCAACGTTTTATCTTGCTTTTTTCTCTTTTAGACCGTCTTATGTACGCTACTAACCACATTTTTGTATAGCAAAACTTACCAACCTCTTAGAGGTATACTTCAGGCTTTGACTTGTGCTTCTTACACTGGACTTTACAGGTAGTGGTCTCGAAGCCGCAACAAGTCTTTAGCTAATAAGCGTAGACTGAATATAATCTCTTTGGTGCAAGATCGGTGTGTGTTATTGTAGACCAATAGTATCAATAACAAAACATGATACATATTGCTAAATGTCGAAACTTTTGGTCCCATAATTCACAATTATATTAAAAAGTTATCACGGTTGACACAATTCGATATAATCTTTATCTTGAATAATCACGTAATGGAAATATCTGTAAGGGCAGATAGTAAAAGTATATCAGAGTTCTTTTAACGTAGCAGTTGGTAATTGGGAACGAGAAGTGTGCAGCAGCGTGTTTGTGAACGATAATCAGTATGTCATACCAGTAGGAAGCCAAACACTAACGGGAGATCAAACTTAAATTTAAAAGGCAATTTTTACAGTCTGTGATAGTAATTGCGCAAATTATGTGGAACTATGAAAAGTACGAGTTGTAACAAAGATTACTTACAAAATGAGTCAAAGTTAACTTTCTCCATAGTATCCCAAATCAATCTGTTTAGTTAACTTTTGTAGCGTGGCGTCGAGTTGAGGTTAACTATGAACACCGCTACCAAGAAACACGTGCCAGATAGATCAGAAGGCGAGGGTTGGACGTAACCAAATAGATCCATAAAATCTCCGAGAAGCCAAATATCAGAAGACAGTTAATGGACCAAGTCGAGGTTTATTAGCTGGCGATCTCGTGGCATCGAAAGGATACCGAGATCGTGCCAGGATACAACCTTAGTTACAGAAGGTAACCGAATTCGCGCGAAGTTACAATCGAAGTGTAAGTATAAGAATGGAAGCACAAAATAGCTGTCATTAGCACAGTCAAACAAAAGCACATTAAAACAGTCACTGGTACACTTGGTTATAATAATAATTGTTTTTATTAAACCAGTCGTGTTCTCGTGATAAATGTGAGTCACTACACTTTGTTCATTAGAGTTGATGACAGCTTCCTTAGTGAAACATGGGTTATCTGCCCTGATGCGACAAATAAAATGAATCCTTAAGTTCAAACCACACTATACTGACGGTTTTGTGCGGCTAATCAGAACAAAGCTAGCCATTAGGCGGATACAAAGTGCCGTTGCGAATAGTTAGTTGCCGAATCTCATGATTTTCATAATCCTTGTTTTGAATGGATTGGACGGAAATTTTTACATGCAACGAGCAGTTAATTTCATTATTTTAGGGTTGGGTGTGGTGAAGACAAGGCTATAATTTATGAAGGAATGAATGGAGTTCAGGTTAGTATATCTTTGGCTTTGGAGCAAAATTCATTCATCCATTTAGTTGACTAACAATCGAAATTATTTCTGACATCAAACTGTGAATAAAATTCTTAATGCAATTCCTAACCTTTAAGTTCCAGGTCTAAATCCTAATTTCTCATACTAATTTCTAATCTTCTTTGAACTCTGATAATTAGATGTATAAACATAAAGGGACGGTAGAAAAAAATTCTGCTTTTTTCGCTCACATGAGGCGCGTTATCGTGTGCATCGTCAAATTTGTACTTATCGACTCTTTCGATATGTCTCACGCATTCCCAAAATTTTTGGATCATACCGTATGGCCAATAATTGTGGTCTATTTTAAGATTTATGCTCCTTTACTGCGACTGTTACACCAGCTTTAATCTTGTCTTTTCAATCAATTAAGCATAGTAAAATTATACTTCTATTAATAAACAGGATCTGATGTATTTTCAGGCTTTGAACTGAATTATTTCTCTTTTGCATTTAACAAGCACTAAATATCATTCATCACGTGCTTTAATGTTGATTTCTCACAACTATCACTAAAATGATCAAAGTTTGAACTAAAGTATGGTTTGTGCGTGACTGTACTTGAAGAGTTTTATAATTTCCGCTATTTTGGAATGAAGTTTTCTGTTGAATACATCAGCAAATTCAATTGGAGCTGGCTAGCTTATGCAGAGGTGACGTGGTGTAGAAAAACCTTTATGAATCACTTTTTAGTTAACAATAGCCGATAGTGGCAATAAACATTGTAGCGGTAAATAAATCCCCAAAATAAATAGCTTTGTAAGTCTTCGGCATTGGATGCTGACCACATTAGTTTTAATGGAATCATCTAGCTGAAGGTGCTCGGTGACGCATCCGCATAAGGTCACGAGTGAGAATGCCGTGCTCGACATACCCTGCAATAATTAGCCAGTCTAGATCAGTCTGCTCTCGATATATTTATAACCTATCAAATATATCTTCGAATCTCCTCGGTTCTGTCTTTTGATTTCACTTGGTGGGTACTATTCATAGTAGAAGGTGTTACTGGTTAAAGCGTTATAAAAACTTCAAATACCTGTGGCATCTTCAGCATTCATGTTTATTATGCACCATAAAAACTCTGGTATAGTGTAAATTTTCAGTCGCGACTGAACTTACTTGCCGTTTGCAGTTGAAATAAGTGACCTGAACGCGCAGTCTATCAATAATGTCGAACATTGTAATAAATCTTTCTGTAACAAGTAAATCTTTACACAAAAAATAAAATGTGTTGTGTAAACTGAGGTACGCACCTTAAAACTTGTCCCCCTTATTGCAAAATGTCGACGAAACTCTCTGTTGTCCCGAGACTGACGAATAAATGGAACACCTAGGTAAGGTTGATCATTCAGTTCTTGGTCTGGCTTTCCACATGGTTGTCAACAGCATTTTGTTGGCTAAAGTCAGAATAAACGTCTGGGAAGCAAATATGCGTGATATTCCAGTTAAGAGCTTCAGAATAATCTGCGGAAATTATGTGAACTGTCGAGAATTTCTCAGTAGCTGGTAAGTGTTTAAAAGCACATGATATTTCATAATTTTAGCCAAGTTATATACACATAGAACATGAGTAGCACTGAGCTATCCATAGTACAGCTTCTGGCACTGTCGATTCAAAACCTTTTCACTTTGAAGTTCACAAACCCATAATGAATTGCTTGTCACCTGTATATTAACTTTCCCATCAAATAAACATTGAGTAGGACTCATTACCCACCTACTGACACAAATGAAATGAAGTTTGTGATAGACCGCCGTTACAAATATGGTGATTCAAGACCGATGTCCTATCTTAACTTCACGTTTAGCTAAGATCTTGCCAGCCATAAAATTTTGGCCAATAAGCGTAGTCGACATTTTCTTTAAACAGGAGGATATACTGCAAAGCAGTGTATAAGTGGAGAAGAAATATATTTAACATCTACTGCGTGTACGTTTCTTTACTTCTATAACCAAACATAAGTATGTGAACTGCTATCAGTAACTTGTTTTCATAAGCATATGCTTATTTTCAGTAAAATTATTCACCCATCTGTGATAGATTCTTCAACAAAATAATTAAACCGATGTTTTTCAGAGTGTTACACAGTAGCAACAAACATGAGGTTTACACCAAATAAGACAAAGTACATAATAACGATGCCACAATTACCCGAAGTTTTACAACGTGTTTAGGCGCAACACTTATATTCAAAGTATACCAGCCCAGTCAAATTACAAGCCCAAAATGGAGATATATTTGGAAGGATATCGATATATCGAGAAGCATTTGGTCTAAGCTGGTTCACATTCTCAAGGAATGCGAACCATGACGTTGCCACTCGTGATCTGGTGCGGATGTGTGACCGAGCGCCTTCAGCCAGGATGAGTCCAGTAAATCCAATGAGGTCAGTATCAATGTCGAAGCCTAACAGAACTATTGCTCCCGGGTATTTATTTACCGTGACAATAGCTTATGTTGTTTTCAGTGACTGTGGTGGTTTTCAGACTGACTACGTAAATATGTGAACACCTAAGCACCACGCTAGCCTATATGCACGCAATCAACCTCAAACACTGCAAATACGAAACGCCCTCTCTCTCCGGTTCAAGGTCGTGGAGGGGAAATCCGTGTTTGGAGGTCTGTTACTTTTCTTCTGTGTCGTCTCACCTCATTCGTTTATTCGTACCATCTAATCAATTAGCCCACATCAGTTTTAAGCTTGAAACATTTGATATCACCGTGTACTATCCTCTAGACAATCTTCGCTGATCATAAACTACGAGAATTCCAGAAAACCCAAAATTATACCATAATGACATTGCAACACAGACGTTTGGTTGTCTGTGTGCATTTCTGTTTGCCCATGCTTTAATATCTGTTGTCAATCCTAACCTGTGTTCCAAATGATTTTCTGGATGTTAAACATTATTAAAATAATGTATAAAATTGCTCTTCAAATGGTTCTATATGTAGTCTGGATCACATTTGATTGAACGAATTTCGCAGCACGCGTGTGAAAGGTTCAAATAAATTCTAATACGCGTCGTATTTAACTTTTTAAACCACCGTTATGCACGTAGATTGCCTGAAGTATTTAGTACAAAATTAGATAAGTTATACTCCAGCTGGAGTTTAAGAAAGGTTCAAAATGTCTATCTCCGCAGGTTTGCAATCATAAAGTGCCCCGTTTGCTCTTGCTCTCTATCTTTGACCATACGAAAATCTGCTTGTGCAGGTTTGTATCGTACTCTTTATCCCGAGGTTAGTAATGTTCTGCATAAGTCAAATCATGATGTACTTCACCAAACCTCATTGATATAGTTTCAGTTTGGTGGTTCACCAAGTAAAAAATGGTCAGTGCGAAGGTCGTGTTTATCCAGTGTTAGCAGATTTTGTGCTTCTAAGTGACAAGGCAGTCTTCTCTTTACGACGGATTTTGACAACTGCTACGGTTAGACTTACAAGTCAGGGGCTAGATACAAGCTGTCTATTTATCTTTCCGAAAATAGGGGTTATTAAGACATCCTTTCAGTCTCTTGGTCACTGAATCAGGTGTGGGTATATGCTAAAATACTTGGTAAGTGATTCAAAAGTAATGCCTTTCAGGAATAATTTCAATTAAGGATGCATTTAATCAAAACCTGACTAGTTAACAAGACTAATTCCTTGGTGAATATTATACTCTACAGATTCTATATTGATAGTATGACGGGCGTTTACAGTAATGTTTTCACAGGGGATCTCACTTAAGTAATTTGACAAGTTTTGGGGGAGTCAGGTTATGCTGTCTCCACATTGGACAATCAGTAGTGACTATTAATGTATGCCTTATCATTGTTCACTATAGTCTCACTACATGGGAGAAAAACAATCATTTCCTCCCAGTTTATCTATGTTCTTTGCTTTCAAAGGTCAAAAATCAAACTATTTCGGAATATACTTGACCTCGTATAGCTGAACATGCATCTAATCGGCCCCATAGGTGACGTAAATTGACAAAGCTAGGCAGGTTTACATATGCTCAGGTTCTAGCATTCAACCCGCCAAATTTGATAAGATGCTTACCCATCTGACTAACTTCCTTCTTGCTATTAGACTGTTTGTAACTCACCGTCTTAATCCTTCCTACAAGAATGTGACTTCCTAATTCTTATTTATTCCTAACAAAATTTGTGGCACAATAGGGTACCAAAAGGGTTACTATCCTGTCCAAGTATATCTTTCAATTTTTTTCAGCACCGGAACCATTGCTTACAGACCTGAAATCAATTTTATCAGAGGCTTCAATGTCGTCAATACATATTTGAAATGATCAGAAATCCCTTAATTATGTATGGCAGAATGTTCTAAGTGTAATGCCCCAATGATCTAAAATCGTTCATTTGTTCTTAAATTTAATTTAATTCCCAATGAATAAGACAGGCAAGAAACGGAAAAAGGGTTATGTCGGGGAGTCTATTTTGTCTTATTTTATCCGAGACGAAAAATACAAAGCTTTTGCCGAAACCGTGAACCCATGTAATATATCTACATCTCTCCCAGTATCTAAAAGCAACCCACTCGAAAAAACTCCTAGAAAATGCCCTGTTTATAAATGGATTCCAGGTTTGTTAAATTATTTAAGTTCATAGTAATGATAGACACATCATTTACTGTTGATGCTTTCTGTTATGCTGAAATTCCAGGATGTACCTGTTACTTCCTCTCCCATTTCCATTTTGATCATTTCAGAGGCATCCACAAGAATTTTAAAGGAGATATCTATTGCAGCGAGGTATATTTTCATTTCCTTTTATTTATAGTTTTAGGTGACAAAGAATCTTTTGAGAAATGCTTATGGTTTGGGGCTGGTTATTAATGTGCTTGAGATAGAGAAAAGTACGAAGATTGGCGATGTAGAAGTAACAGCTTTAGATGCTAATCAGTAAGACTATAGTTAAATATTCATTTGTTCTTGATTTTTGTTTTTAAATGTGTTGATTCTGCAAAATCTTGTAGCTATTTTAGCTTGACGATTGTTTTTACTTAGCAAAATTCAGGTACAATGGTCAGTTAAGTTTTTGCTAGTGAATGTGCTGTATTATTACTTAGTTTGTCAAAACGTTGAGTGGATAAGACTTTCGTAATAAATGAATCCGGGTTTAATTATTTCTTTATACTCCACTAACAATCTTCAAAATCTTGAGCACTCATTTAATTATTCAACGCAAATGGCCTTAAAGTAGGTTGATACCGTAAACATAACGTTTCAAAGTGTAAATTGAGCTCTGAACTATGCCAGTGTTTGTAGTTCATTGATCTAGGTCTTTGGGTTTTCATTTTCTGCAAAAATATATAACAGTCGACATTTTCGTCAGTATACTTGTACACATAAAACCAAGTATCAAAGCCTTCCGTAGTCCATTATTTGCTTAAAATTCAGCTAAAACGGATGTTGCAGTGAAAAAGATGAACAAGTTGACAGTGTATATATACAGTATATATATATATATACCTTTCTAAGAGGTATAATTCACCTCACATTTATATAACAGGAGGAGCTTAACATAATGTAGAGAGAAGGGATCGGAATGATATTATCAGTGCCGTTCGAAGATGAACGATATAGTTTGCTTCGTTGTACCGGACTTCAGAAAATCTTACTTGGTCCTCGGCTGTCAGTTTTTGCTCTCGAGTTAACAAAAAATGCACAATTTGCTAAATTTCTCTAACCAGTAGCCAGTAACTTAATGGATTAGATTAGTCTTATAATCCAACTAGACGGAAGCCTTTATCCAACTAGTTACTAATTATAGTACTTCACATGAGTATCGTTAGCAGTGCGGTATATATATTTCACATCACTGACAACTCACTGTATTCATTTTTTCGACGTATCTTAATTGTTTTATTTTGCGTTCTAAGAGTTCTTCCTGTAAGTTCAAGTCAGATTTTCTATAATTCTACCACAATTCATATGTTTTTTGACTGATCACCGAATATCGACAAAGGTGAAATCCTTAATCTGCGCTTCTTAACCTTTATACAGTTAAAAATATATTCCGTTTTAAGTTTATGAGAATAAATGTTTTTGAAATAAAGAACCAGTAAAAGCTACTGGATAAATAGAAGTTTGAATAACATCATGAAGCAATTTTTATCCTCAATTTTCAATCCATTTTACAATTATTCATACCGATTTCCCTGAGATTCTTATTTTAAATTGAAGTCATGGTATAATAAGGTTTATTAATGCATGCTTATGCTACTATTTCATTATATTTTTCCCACTAATTTATCTTACAGTTGTCCTGGCTCTTTAATGTTCCTTTTCTATGTGCCATCAAAACAGAAGACTTATCTACATACTGGTGACTTTCGTTATACACCATCAATGTTAACTCATCCAAGTATATTAACAAATTATTTATCGGACGACAGTTCTTCCAAAAAGTTACCAAGAATACATTCAATATTTTTGGATACAACGTAGGAGTCCTGTTTTCTTTATATATGTTTTTCTAGTGTATATATTTGTACTATTAGTACATTTTTCATTCTGAAATAAGCAAAAATCTGTGAGTGATGTGGAAGTAAATTCTATGAAGAATGAAATCAATATTAATTTAAGATCAATGTAATGTCAACACATTTTCGCTGCACTACTTGATGACATTCAATGCATTTTTACTTATTTTTGTTGAGTGATATTTGCTCAGTTCATAAATTTTAGTCATTGCAACTGATATATAACTGAGTAACTAGAATGTTTTAAAAGATTCTATTAAGGTCATCATCAATAAAGCTTTTGTGAAGAAGCTGGACCTCTCACTCAATTAGCGGGACAGGAAAGAAAAAGAGAAAGTAGTCTCGTTCACTATATTGAAGCTAGAGTTGTGAAATATTAATCTGGTCCACGAACGTACCAAAATTATACATTTATATTTTAAATACACTACTTGAGCGCTATCTTATGTACGACGATTCCTGTTAGAATAATTCTCACTATATTAAGATATAGTGGTGTATGTAATCTAACTTTAGATGAAAGGTTTTGTCATAAATCCCTCACATAAACATAATGTGTTAAAGACTTGTGTTCGGTCGTCGCAATTGTTGGACCTCGGCAATTCCTACGATGCGAAAGTAAGAACACAAAGACTGGTATAAGTGATGATTTATTAGCCCCAAATTACGACGACGACGATGATCAAAATAGTCTAAAATACACTGGTTCATATATTGATTTTGCACCCATTTTTGATTAATAATTAGAATAAAATCACATATATGAAAAATACTTAAAGTCATAACAAATCATCTAATGAGTATAGTTCATGTCAATGGAATACAAGAATATCCCATATTATACAGAATAGAATATCATACGACAAAAGAAAGCAAATACTACACTGAATGATCATTACATTGAATTAGAATGGATGTAATGTTGAATAAAACTCACAATGAGTAAATCAATAGAAAATTGATTTTTCTTCCCATCATATCAAAGACATGAAACAAATGACTAGAACCGTTATGGTTACAGTCAGTTTTTTTAAAAATTTATTTGTTTCTACCGACTTAAATTGATCGTTAGATGATCATATTTCTGGGTAAAGAACCACAATATACGGTGTGATGACCGAAATTATGAACAGCGTATAGACGATGTTTTCTGGAAAATAATTCAGTATTTTCTCAATTTTCATATGGCATTTCTCTGACTGAATCACGATAGCATTAAAGTAGAGTATTAATTGACTTAAGGTTTATTAGTGGTAGAAAACTCGAGGATACAGTACCAGTTTCTAATGCTCTTAAAATGTTTATTTTTTAAATCCATTTTTCGTTAAATAAGTTTTGTAGGATGTTACATTTAAAAATATTGATATATTTTCCAATCAAAATTATTTGTTTTTTCTACCTAAAAATGATTAGTTGATTTAAAATTAATCTTATGTTATTGCTGTTTTTACATTGTTTCTCATTTCCCATGTCCAGATGTCACTTTTGACAAGATAGAAATTTTTCATGTATTGATTTTATGAATGATCTACCAATTTTTAGATATTGTTCATCTCAGTATGACTTTCCTACTCAACTGGATGTTATTCATGGAGCACTGGAAGTTACACGTGATTATCTGATAAAAGATCCTACCATTTTAGTTGTTTGTGGAATGTACTCAATAGGCAAGGAGCGATTTACACTTGGTAGGTATTACTTATAACAGTACGGCTTCAATTTTCTTTATTACTATTATACATAAGCAATAGTTTCCACTAATTCTGAATGTGGTACCCGATCAAGTTTCCGAACTATTGAACAGACTCTATCATTTTCATGTAAAATTTCTTTTGTCTGTTTTGGTTATTACAAGTTAATCTGTTTCATTCATCATTAAATGATGTCGTAATCCTATAGTATTGACATGAATAACCGGTATATATGCACGAAAAATTACGTTTTGTATATTTCTCTAACGCCTATGAATAAATATGTATTTGTCATTCAACACATTCGTCAAGTTATGTATTCTCTTATACTGTCTCTGATAAGATCTAGACAATCAAATGCTTTTGTACAGTTTTTTCTTTCTATATTTTAAGTAGGTCGATTACAGTCATTGTAATCAAACAATATATTTTTTTGATTTATTCAGTAAATTCGCTTGTTAGTTCAAATAGTTGTATTAATTGTTTCTGGAAATACATGTTTTCCCATCACAATTCTTTTCACTCTTTATCTTCTTATAAATCTTGGATTTGGTGTCATTCTTATCATTTCATGCTCTGATCTTTGTTTTTCTAACTTCATTTCTTATGTTTTTAGTATCTTTAGTGTGTAGTTAGCAGTGCAATCTAAATTAGTCGTTTATTCATATTCGGGAGTCGTCAGTTAGATATGCCTGCATCTCAGTGTTCATTTTTACACTGAGATTCGAACACAATACTTTGCGCTTCAAATGCTAGTGTGTTGTCTACAAAGTTGTTGATTCCAGACAACTACTAACTTGTTTAACAGATGTGAAGGTATTAGTAAAGATTTGTGATATCTCCTTATTGATATTCAAGAATAAGAATCTTAGTTATCGTATGGAATCAGTAGCTCAATAGATAACTCATCGAAGTTTGAAGCAAAAGGTTTTGGGTTCAGGTTTCAATGTGGACATCATCATTAAGATGAAGGTAAATTCAGACGAATCTCAAAGAAGGCGAAATACACAGTCTGGATCCCACTGCTAACCGTATTACCAAATATACTAAAAATTTGCGGCAATATCGGAAAGCTGCTCAGGTTGTACATATATTATTATTGACTGTTCAGTAGCATTTCTCATATTTAGATTTCTACTACTCTCTATATTGTTTCCCACCCTACGCTCCTCATCTTGTTTATCTCCTATCTGATTTTACTGATTCAGGTTTTATTAAGTATATATACCTTTCCTAAGTCCTATGTTGTTAAATTACTGACTGTTCTCAACTAAGGGAGTTATTCATACAGATAATAGATAAATTAAATTTTTCATAGGGTTAGTAAATAACTAATCTAAAGAAGTAGATCAGGCTTACCTAAATTGATTGGTAAAAGGAAAATGAGGAAACCACGAATAAAGATTTCAAAATAGATCTCAAGATACTGGAATATCAAGTAAGATATTATACAACTGACAATTAGAAATTAGCATTACGAAGAATGTGCAACATATATAGAAATATCAATTTGAATGCAAAATAGTTTTTAACCATTAAAGTGCAGTAAACTTTAGCTTGTGTGATCGATCTTTGATTACTTTAAATTATTTATGAAGTAGAAGTCATTGTATCATATCCACTTCCATGTGAGATAGGATAAACAATTGCATGGCATGAAATCTTCCTAATTTTCAGTTAAAAAAGGACAACAATCCAAATCTACCATGTAAAACTAAAGGGAGATGTATATATATTCATGTTTTAATGTTGTGATTTAGTTGATTTACGTTTGTTTTATAAATAAAGACAATACTACTCTATCGAATTTTTCAGAGAGACATAATCAATGTACATTTTAACTCAGGTTTGAATTAGACTTTCTTATACACGGGAATTATCAGTTTTAATCATGTACTTAGAAAAACAGTATGTTGTTTATAAACTACTTATAAGTAGGCAGTTGTGAAATTGATGAAATTCATGCCTTAATTCTATTGAGTAGCTATGGAATTATTCAGTACAAAAAATTATGGTTATTTGGTTTACAATGCAAGTAATTCTAAAAAAATGTTTGGTAGTAAGTGAATTGTTTGCATATATTCAACTAATACAATTAGGAATATATGACCCTAACTTTTCCCGAGAAAATCATCATCCTGAATTCATACGACGGACTACACTGCAAAATGGTGCATGGAGGGCAGCTGACAGATGCATTTTAAGTGAGGACTTGAGTCAAACAAGGCTACTTACACTCCTCCTTCCTTTTTCTTGTGATGGTTGGTTGGATTATGAAGATTTCCACATCTGAAGGGAAGCACGGAATAAAATGGACAGGTTAGATGCAACTAGACGACTTGGATTTCGCAGATGACTTGGCCCTTCTATCTCATACACACCAACAAATGCAGATAAAGACAAACAGTGTAGCATCAGTATCTGCACCAGTAAGCCTCAACATACACAAGGGAAAAAGCTAGATCCTCAAATACGACACGGAGAACAACCAATCACACTTGATGGCGAAACTGGGAGAGGTGGAAAGTTTCACGTATCCAGGTAGCATCATCGATAAACGTGGAGGATATGATGCAGACGTAAGGGTGAGGATTGGCAAAGCAAGGAAAGAATTCTTATAGTTGAAGAAACAACGGAACTCAACACAACTGCCAGTCAACATCAAAGTCACAATCTCCAGTACAGACATCAAGATAGTTCTATTGTACGAAGACGAAACTACGAGAACTGCTACAACCATTATCAAAAAGGTACAAATATTTATAAACAATTTTCTACACAAGATACTCAATGTCCGTTGACCGGATACAATCAGCAACAAACTATTGTGGGAGAGAACAAATCGGCTTTCTACTGAAGAGTATGTTAGGAAAATATGATGGAAGTGGGTAGGATATACATTGCGGAACAGATGTTTAATCATTAGAAAACTGTGATTTGAACCATTAATATTACCATGGGGTAATGATTAAAAGAATAATTGTTGTTGTTGTATAGGCCTTCTTCGAAAACTTTTTTAGTATAGTCAACTTTCTGCTTAATTGTTAGTTCTTTTTTTTACATGAAAAAGTTATTTTCATGGTATTTGTTAATTATGTAATACTGGCTGGTTCTTTTAATAAATAATATACACCATGTTATATCCTAGTAAAGATTAATTTATTAGTAACTTCCGATAACTACCAATGGAAGCTGGTATTGGTATTCTGGACTCAAGTGGACGGGATAGGTGGACAAAGGACAAATAAGGACGCCAGGCTGCTCATACCGGTCGAAGGTCATTATGTTAGCACAGTACTAAGATTGAATAAGTCGTCCTTCGATTGGCGAATAAATCACATGATAACTAGCCTGCCTTAAAGGCACAACACAGTTGTTCTACTGAAGATATCTGTTTTTTGTCAGTTTTTCGTGTAAATTATCTTTCAGTGTTTGTTATTCACGATACTTTTTATGGAACATGATAACAAAGGAAAAAGTGTAAAATGTGTTATTTTTATTCAGTGATTGAAGACATCGTTCTTACTGAACATTGGATATCAGTCACCAAAGTTGTATAAACTAGATTAATTAAAGCATTATCACCAATAAAGCTTGTATTTCATGATTTTTACACTTGATTGGATTGTCATTGCGATACCCAAAAACACATTACCTGCCCTTAATATTACTCGGCCTTACCACCGGATTTAAACAGTCTTTCAGCCAAAACACTAATCTGATACAAAGTTGCCAAACATTCACTTGATACAACTCGGTTTCACAAGTGTAAAGTAGAAATTCTCTCACCGTTGTATACTGAACCTTTTTTGTAGCCAAACTAACGTCTTAATGTCTCTAAAGAAGATTTAACGAAGACCACTTTAAAACTAACCTTAAACTGTTCAACCAAACTAATTTATTGGTTATGCCAAGTTCAATGTATTAGAAAAAAAATCCAATCTTGAAATTCACGTATTAATTTAGGGTGATTTTCGCTGGTTAGCTTTTACTATTCATTAATTGTGTGAATATTGTTTATTTGATTTCCAATCAATTTTCATTGAATTCATCAATTTACTATGATTTTTTATTCAAATGATAGTTCGATAAATTCTTTAACAAATTGTCACTGAACGTAATCTATCTGTAATTGAATAAACTCGTGTGTGAATTAATCTTCTTGAATCTCTATCAAATAAATCTTCCTTATAAGATTTGTTTTTCGGAGTAATCCGGGTCAATTGAAAAAGGAACTGTTCTATCGTAGTATCAAAGTTTTGTTAGAGTTATGTTTCCTATCACAAATATACTATAATTATAGAACGCTTAATTCAAACACAATCCTTTTCACTTCAAAGTTTTACAATGAAATTTATATGTATTGAAATATAAGTTTCTAAGAAAATTTTATATATGTAGTTCCACATAACAGATTAAACATTGAGAATCAAAATGTTCGTGCAATATCGTGAACTGACTCATGTTAGAAATGAAAACTCAGTAATCTAAAGGTTAAGTTCTACTCAGAAAACCTGAAGGTATTCGGTCCTGTCGTAGGGTTGTAGTTGCACATTGTTGAGCAGTCTTATGCGAAATTGGCCTGGTTTTTTGGTTTTTAATGGTTCACGTTACAATGTTTGTAATATATCAAGTGTTAATATTCTTTCGAATTATTTGATGAAATATTTTCCTATGGCCCGTCAGATACCACGTGACAAAAATCGCCAATCAGAATATCGACTTCTATGATCTTGTCCTTGTGCCAAACAATAATGCGTCAACTAGTACTAGCAACCTTGGGTCAACTCTTGGTCATTATCGGTCCTCTGTATAGTAACTTCTCGCGTAGCTCAACAAGTTCAGTGCAGAGCACAAATATCAACCTCCGCTGTGTGAATCGTATATTTCAGATATACTTGGCTTATATACAAGCAGACCAGACCACATAACACGATAAAATGAAAAATAGTGATTATACAAGATCAAGCTAAAAGTGGCTGTTAGTGTGTGACACT